TGACAAAACAACATCGAGCCAGTTTCCAGACAATTCCTGCAGTGACATAACCAGCCAAGTCATGGCTGTGCCACATTTCTGAGCCACGTGAAACTCCCCCGACTTCCTGCAACTTCCTCTTCACCAACACTGCAAACACCACACACCACTGGAGGCCAGGCCTAAACCCTGCTGGAATCCAGCTCCCCCCAGCTTCCCAAAAGAACACAACTCTCTGGGCAGAGCTGAAACGCTGGAAGAGCTTCCTGCCCCTCCTTCAGCTGGGCTGTGTGTGCATCTCCCTGGGCAGGGTTTGCTGATGTTGGTTTGACTTTTAACTGGAGATACAAATGTCTCTTCAAATGCCTCAACACTGAAAGGTTGGATCATTAACATTCCACTTCCCGGTGACTCCTTTCATTCAAAACTCTCCTTCCTCCATCCTGAAACCCTGAACAGTCAATGTAGTTTTAATGAAAAAAAAAATAAAAATTAACACCACTCCCCATCAAGTACATCCATCCACTCTCTGGAGTACCTGCCTCAAATAGCCACATAGCACCTCTTCCTCTCCCCAGTCTCACATTTACTTTCTCATCCACAAGAAGCTCAAAATGGAAACATAAAAGAATGAAACTCTGCCAGGCCACACCTGAAGTTCTCTAACCAGAAAAGTGCAAATACAAGTTTCTTACCTATCTTTCTTCTAGTACTTATTGTCTCAAAAGGTTTTTGCTGTTGCTTTTCTTTGGCTTTTTTTTCTGTTGTTTTTTCTTTGTTGGTTTTTCTTAAACTCTTTCAGACTACAAATACCTCCCTCTCTCAGTTCTGTGCTTATGGCACATGAGTGACCTTTATAAACAAATATGCCACCTGCTAACTTCCACCTCAGCTTTCAACAGAGAAAAGCCTCACAACCACCCATCAGTACAGTTAATTACCTGGCAGCTACAATGGTGGCTTAAAACTGCCCGAGACTGGAAGAACTGCTGCACTTGGACCTAAAACACAACGTTATTCCGCAGTTCCTAATTCATAACTCCCTTATTACAACTAAGCAAACGCTACAAGTGATGTCTGCTAAGGAGCTGTGGGGCCTTGGCTGCGAACAGCCGCGAGACCTTTAATCACCCCTCTGACACGACGGAAAACTCCCCACGTCCCTCCTTCCTACCCTGACTCCTGCCCGCGCCGGGACCAGGGACCAGGGACCAGGGAACAGGGACCAGGGAACAGGGAACAGGGACCAGGGAACAGGGAACAGGGACCAGGGAACAGGGAACAGGGACCAGGGAACAGGGACCAGGGAACAGGGACCAGGGAACAGGGACCAGGGAACAGCCCCCGCTCGGCACCGCCGGGAGAGGAACAACCCGAACCCGGCTGGGCACAGCGGGGGTCCGCTCGCACCGGGGGCCGCTACCCGCCGCGCCGCAGGGACACGGCAGGGCCTCGGCACCGGGAGCTCCGGCCCGGCCCCGGCCCAGGCCCCGGCCGCCGGCCCCGCACCCGCCCGGCCCCGCACCCGCACTCCGCACCCGCACCCGCACCCGCACCCGCACCCGCACCCGCACCCGCACCGCACCGCCACTCGCACGCGCACTCCGGCCCACGCTCACCCCGCGGCCGCCCTCACCCCGGGCCCGGCGAGCCTCGTCCCGCCCCGGGAAGCGCCGGCCCGGAAGAGCTTCCGCGCTGCCCGCGGGCCCCGCGGCGGCGGAGGCGGGCCGGGCCGGGGTTTTGGAGGGTCTGGCCCTGAGGAGCGTCCGGCGCCGCTCGGAGGGCCGGAGGGGTTGTGAGGACCGTCCCCCGGGCCGCTCGGAGGGGCCCGGAGGGGTGTGAGGACCGTCCCGGGCCGCTCCAGGAGGGGCCGGAGGGGTTGTGAGGACCGTCCCGGGCCGCTCGGAAGGGGCCGGAGGGGTTGTTGAGGGAACCGTCCCGGCCGCTCGGAAGGGGCCGGAGGGGTTGTGAAGGACCGTCCGGCCGCTCGAGGGGCCGGAGAGGGTTGTGAGGACGTCCCGGGCCGCTCGGAGGGGCGCCGGTATAGGGAAGTTGTGAGGAAAGAGCGGTCCCCGTCCGGGCCGCTCGGAGGGCCGGAGGGGTTGTGAGGAACCGTCCCGGGCCGCTCGGAGGGGCCGGAGGGGTTGTGAAGGAGACCGTCCTGGCGCGCCGCGCGGTGGGCGGGGCTCGGCCCGCATCGCCACCAGATGGCGCAGGCGGCGCTGGGCTCGGCGGCGGCTGGCACTTCGATCAGCCTGAACAAGCTGCGGGGGCTGGAGCCCGAGGTGGCCGGCCGGCAAGACGGCGCAGCTCCGCGAGGAGTGTCGGGCCTTCGTGGACAGTGAGTCCCGCACGGCCCACGGGCCGCCCCCGGGCACTCCAGGGCTCCCCTCTTCTCCTGCCCCTTTTATCTGACTCCGAGGAAAACCTTAAAACGTGGCTGTTTACAGTAAACTCTATAAACATAAAGCTGCTTCTAAAAGCTATACCACGAAGCAGGAGCGTTGCTCCTCTTTAGGGCTGTTCTGGGTATCACTTGCCAATCTCTTCTTCTTTGCAGAAACAGCAGAATTCCAGAAAATAGTGGGCAGCTTGATTGAGCTCGTTGACCAACTGGCCAAAGCTGCAGAAAGTGAGAAGATGAAGGTACTGTGCAGTCAGTTCCTGGGTTCTCGTGTGCTCTGCCTTGTGTAAAAAACCAGCTCTGTCCCTCCCTCCCTTTACAGCAGAAGCAGCATTTCCCTGTCAGCGTCCTGCTGGCATTCCCGTGGGACTAACTGGGCCTTTTTAGTTGACATTAATGTCTAGAAGCCTGTGACATTGTCACATTACTCCTGCATGTCACAGCTCTTCCTGCTTGTCAATATTTCTGCACTTAAACAGAACCTGTATTTTTAAATCGCTCCTTTTACTGGTAGAACTTAGTCCTCAAGAGGCAAGAGAAGCCTCTGGTAGCCAGAGCTTGTCTGGACCAGTGCCCACTCTGTGTGTCCAGAGGAGTCAGGGACTTTGTTCCCTGTGTCTGAGGGAGGCCCCAAAGGCCTCACCCGCCCAGGATCACAGTGTCACCCTCCCTTATTGCTGGCACGGCTGAAACACCTCAGAATCAACCTGCTGGGAGGGAAAGGGGCTAAAAAAATTAACAAAACCCCCTCAGCACATCCCACCCTCTCCTGCCAGGCCATCGGGGCACGGAACCTGCTGAAGTCGATCGCAAAGCAGAGAGAGGCTCAGGAGCAGCAGCTCCAGGCTTTGATAGCCGAGAAGAAGATGCAGCTGGAAAGGTGAGGTTTGTGCTCAGCACTGTGGGGAGCTGTGCAGGCTGGGAGGGCTCAGGGCTGACCCAGGGCTGACCCCTGTGGGACCCTCAGTTGGTTCAGACAGTCCCACCTGCAGCAAAGGTGTGTCCTGCCCAGAGCACACCTGGAAATGTGCCACAGGCCTGGACTCACCTTCAGGCCTTGCAGTGAGCCAAAGCAGGTTCCTCCCTGAGGCCTTGGGGGCTGACCAAAGGGAGGCAGCACGAGGTGGGCAGTGCAGAACCCAGCACATCTGTAACAGCCTTGTGTCTGGCTGCTAAAGGGCCTTGAGAGCTGCACAGTGTGACAGTGCAGCTGCTGCTTCCAGTGACAGGTCACACAGGTAGCCCAGCTGCCCTCCCACAGCCTGGGGGGCTGCACTGACCCCCCTCCCACAGCCTGGGGGGCTGCACTGATCCCCCTCCCACAGCCTGGGGGGCTGCACTGATCCCCCTCCCACAGCCTGGGGGGCTGCACTGATCCCCCTCCCACAGCCTGGGGGGCTGCACTGACCCCCCTCCCACAGCTGGGGGCCTTTGACCATTTTTCTCTTGCAGGTACCGGATCGAGTACGAGACTCTTTGCAAAATCGAAGCGGACCAGAATGAATTCATTGACCAGTTCATTTTCCAGAAATAGAGGATTTTAAGATAAAAACCAGCTCACTTGGGAACTTGACCATTCCAGAATCTTGAGAATTTCAGAAATATGCAATTTCCACTGTGCAGGAGTGCAGATGGTTTGTGCAATGGAGGGGCTTTACCTTGGTGTGAATGTCCCAGCCGTGGCAATAAGGAGGGCTGACAGCTCACAGCTGCACACACTGCTCTGGCCTTTGATTTTATACCAGTTTTGTACAGTCAGTAGTTCTAATTCAAATTACAGCTGAATTAATGCTACTGGTGCTCTGTTGTGTCTCTTTTTGAACTTTACAGCTCTTTCAAAGAAATTGGGAAATAAATTATTGTTCTCAGACTTTCTGGCTGTACCAGAAGTAGTTGCTCCTGCTCTGTTACTTTTCAGCTTAAAGGTTTACAACTCCCTGGGCACTCTCAGTGGTTTTCCACTTTCTTTGTGTCTGTAAAGACACCACACACAAGCAGCAGTAACTTGGATCTACGTTGCCCACATTACTCTCTACAGAATTATAAAAAACCTACAGAAATTTATGATTGCCAGAACACATCAATTACAGACACACAAAAAAACAGAAACTACGTGAGAATTAAGAACTTTGAACTGTTCCTGAGGAATGTCCATTCAGGAATGTCATAACATGAGAGCTGAATCCCTTCATGGGCATTATTAGGATGGAAACCATTCCAAGTGTCAGTGACACCAGGAGTACATAACTATAAACTACAAACACAAATGTGAACTCAAGCCTCCTGCTGAAGTGCAAACAGATGTGTTTTGTGTCTGTCTTTAGGGAACCCAGTATGGAAATGTGGCTCGTTCCAAAGCCTGGGGAAGGCTTACCTTTTACAGAGTGAAGTCCTGAAATACAAGGGCAGCACCTGAGCAGCTTCACAGGGCCCTGTCACCTCTCACCAGGCTCCAAGTGTTCTTGCAGATCAATGGAAAACCTAAAAAACCCCCATCCACCCCAGAATTTCTATCAGTTGTTGTATTTTATGCATAGATTTACTCTGTGAATTCTCTACCATCTCATGGTCACTGTAAGTTCCTCTCAGCCTTTCCATGAAGAAGATTAAATGCAGATTATTGCAGGGAGTTATTTATTTCCATACTATAAATGATTTCAGGGAAGTGAGAAATTTGCAATTCCTTGTTTACAATTCCTGAAGTACTTCAAAATCCTCTAGGCAATATTCTTCATTTTCAAAGGTAACTTTAAGTATCATAAATCCAGAGTTTGGCACATTTACCACTGATCAGACATTAATTAATCAAAATGAAGCAAAGCAAAGGCAGGGAAATTTCAAAGGAAGGGGTGAGGAAGTTAAGAATCAGGATATGATTGGAAACGTTTCAGAAGCACAGCTTTGCAAATCTGGGTGTAATCACTTGGGGAGTCTGCAGAATATGCTGTTGGAAGACAGATTTCCTACTTAAGTGGTTTCCAAACAGTCATCTTGGAAAAAGGGAACTTGGAAGAACAATACCAGCTGCAGTGTGAGTGTGTGCCCTCACAGTTACACATCAAGGGTTACATGTCCATTTTCCTGCTGGAGAGGCCCCGCACAGACCCGACCCCAGAGGCCCCGGGGGTTGCTGGCCCAGCCTCTGGCAGAGCTGTTTGTGGTGGAAGCAGAGCTGTGCACTCAAACCAATTCCATTTTCCCTTGCAGTGCCCTGGCAGGAGCTGTTGCAGCCAACACAAGAGGGATGTTTGTCCCAGAGGACTCCGTGAGCACAGGGTTGGAACCAAATCCAGGACAGGAGTGGTGGGTACGACTTCCAGAGGGGGCTACTTCCTTTTTCTCTTCTCCACGTGTTTGTAGTGGGGGTTGCAGAGCATGGTGAACAGGATCAGGAGGGGGATCAGCAGGTAGGGCAGGTATATGGAGAGCAGAACGAGGCGCTCACGCAGCGTCTGAGGGCCCACGTGCTCGGACTTGGAGAAGTCGTGGAACAGGATATGGGCCAGGATGGCAAACAGAGTGGTGGCTACGTGGGTGGAGTAGATAATGGCAGGAGTCCTGATCCATCTGCAACCACCTGCACAGAAACAGAAAGGAAAATGTATTGAAGTATTTTTGAAACAAGCAGAATTCCGAGGCTTTTAACTTAACAGAACATTGACTGCTGTCTCTCTGCCAGGGTCAGCCATCAGTCAGACTGAATAGGTAGCACAAAAAAACCTAAGTACTAGTAGAACCCAGAAATTTCTCTCCCTTGATGGAAATTCAGAACAAAGGGGTGATCCTGAAAATTTTAAAGTAACAAAATGAGTACACAGGCTTGACCCAGACCTTTATCTACCCTGGAAGTGTGCCAGATGTCAAATACTGATTACACAAATGGCTGCACCTGACAAGGGCCTGTAGTCACAAAGTTTTGTGTCTAACAGACTTTATTCTGTGCTGCTTTCCCAGGTAAAATCCGCCATGAGAGCAGCCCAGTGCTCGTGGCACACTCGTTAAGGGCTGTGACAGCCCAGCCCTCCACAGGGTACGTCCCTCAAACTGCTCGAGACTGATGCAGAAACCTTCTCTGCTGTTCCAAAAGCAGGAGTGGTGCAGAAGAGCTCCCAGGACGTGCCCCTGCTCTGGTTTCATACCCACCCTTCAGGAAGGCGTAGGCGGCGACGGGGAAGAACGGCAGCTGGAGAAAGGCTTCACAGTAGATGAAGGCCTTGAACCACTCCGGGGGCTGCAGCATCATGGGGTCCCTGAAGGAAGTTGCATACTGCTGCAACAGGTCTGTCAGCTTAGGGAAACCAAACCAACACATTCTGTCACTGAACAGCAACCTCAGCACGGCAAAGATGTGATTCTCAACTGAATGAAGCCACCAGTGCAATGGGAAAACAGAGTGATCCAACCTTGGCACTTGAGGATTTGTACTGCAGTTTAAACAGGGACTATGTTTATAGTAATGAACCCTTTGCATTAACTCTGTATTAAATTTGCACTACAGGCAATTTTAGGATTACTTCTGCACTAAGTACAGTTTCCAAAAACTACTCCTGAAATACGATTTCCTATCAGAAAAAACCCAAACCACAAAAATCTGCCCCTTGACACTCATAGCTATGATTTTCCTCTCTCTGCAGAGCTCTGCTGGTGCCAGCCCAGGGGGGCTCTCTGAGTGAGGGGTGAGCCCCCAGCCTCCCTCAGGTCCTGCCCAGCCCAGTGGGTTCTGGGGGCTCCTCCTCCAGGGCTGGAGCCCGGCTGCTGCCGTGGAACAGCTCCATCCAAGGATTTGGCTCAGGGAGTTGCAACGAGTTTCCACGACAGAAATGTAAACTCCATCATGGCTCTACACTGGACTTTGAACAGGGGGATATGCATTGGGATCTGCTGGTTAACTATTAATTAAAAGTGGTGCCTCTACACTGGAGTAATTCTCCAGCAATTCTGATGGCAAAAACCACGTCAGCCAATTGTGAGGCTCAAACAGCAGGTGACAGCCGACTGCACCCTGACGATGAGGGCTGAGCTAATTATCAGCCATCCAGCTGTGGTTTGAATTAACTTCATGATGCTTATTGTCTTTTACGATTTTGCTCAAAATCCAGCAAACCAGAGATTTTAACTAATAAATTCGGTCGCTGGGATACCCGCTGCTGCAGCGGCAACAACTCCCCGGTAGGTTTTTGGCAGGAATT